CACATAGAACTAAACGTGTTAATTGTAAACTACTACCAAGAAATATGTTAAATTTGTTTTTACCCTGAAATTGTGTTGTTCATGAAGTATCTAAGGAGCTTTATAATCAACATAGTGTAAAAAAATGTATCACTGTAAAAAAATCCACAAGATCCGCCACTACGTAGGTACCTACCTACAATAAATTATTGATTTCAATAATAATATACTACCTATAGTTAAATCGAAAATCCAATCACAGAACCAATATAGGTATACAGACATAATTACATACAGTTGTGCCTTGTACATTTGTGTTAGGTACTTATTAAATGTACTTATTTAATGTAGGTATGATGCATAATATGCAGTATAATATCATAGCATTAAATATATAATTTTATTTCATTCCAACCACATAATCAATGCATTAATCATGCATCAATAAGCAATGTACAGTTAAGATATTATATTAATATATGATTTAGCATATAGGTAAGTTTGCTGTGGTTATGTGATATGGTTATTTTATTAGGTATCATAATAATTTTCATATTTAGTTAATTTAATAATATATTTATGTATAACCAATAGACAATAACCATAAAGGTATTTCGATTTTTAAAACGCTGTTTCACAACGTACCTACTTTAATGCAAGTCATGGGATAATGTTGAAATAAATTTGTAAGAAATAAAATAGGTAATTCGAGTAAGCCATGTAATATACTTATTGCTTACTATTATCATTATGTTGTCACTTGTCACTACAATATACCTACTGTTCACAAATATTTGTGTGCAACTTTACTTTAACCAAACAATAAATTAGTTGTCAGTTTGTCACAAGTGACGAGTGCAACCAAAAATCATGATTGTGGGGAGACGGGGAGTCAATTCTGGTTAAATACCTAAACATTTATTTCCGTGAAAGTAAACTATGAAGTAGGTACCTATTGCAATGCTTTTAAAAAACAAATGATTCATTCTTTACATCTTTACAAGTATTTTTATTTTTATTTTTGTACAAGGGCCGTATTGTGTTACACGGTAAATCGGAGTGCTATAAGTGGGACATTCCCACTTGAAAAATTTTAGTTACCGTGGAAAAGCTGGCTCAGAATATACAAATATATACTACTGAACGTCTAATAAGTACCTACCTAATATGACGTTAATATTATTATCATATCAAAACAATAAAATTAATTTACTTTTAAACATCTATTAGTGGCCAAAACTAAAAAAAAATAGGCGGCCCAGGCCCCAAGGGCGTCATTTGAGATGTTACAGGATATGCTTATGCATACTTAAAATTTATCAAAATTGCATTTTATTGGCCTGACTATAATTTTTCCACACCGGGCAAAAGTTATCTTTTCTTTTTTAATTAGTCTTAAATATCGGCAACCATAGTCATTACGTGATAGGTATTGATGTATTATTTAAATTAAATATAAAAATGTGTGATTTATGTTAAATATTTTATGTGTGACTGAGGATTTCAGGATTTGTTTTGTATACAATATTTTTAAGTACAAAAACGTCTATAAATATTTTAATTGAAATTGAAATACTAACTTAGTATTCTTAGGTAGGCGCGTTCGATAAAAAAAAGTAGAACTCATATATAAATATTGAGTTCTGTATACTTTTTTAATTCAACGTCAAAATGTTCGAGTAAGGTGTTACACCAATTTTGTAGTTTAAAAATTCAGTTAGGTAATATATTTTGTGTAAAGCACGAATTAATGGACACAAATTGTGAAATCTCTGTATAATGCAATACGGTAAATACAACCTAATAATAGGTGGACAACGACTTTGTAAGCTCCCCGTGACGTGTAGTACGGTAAAATCCATGTCTTCTGAGCGGAACGTTCCCGCTTGGACCAGGGGTGGATCCCCAAGCTGTATTTCTAAACAATTGTAGACTGTTAAAAACAAAATAACAAAAAAAAATCATCAACATTTTCTGAAAACTAAGACTTGTCCCCCATCATATAATATATATAGCCAGTGAGCCACCACTGTCTTGGACATAGTGTAATTACCACTGAGGAAAAATTTAACATAAAATTTAAAAATTAAATATTTGTCGGCTTAAATACTGTCGGCTAAAATATGGTTCGGACGAAATATGTGTCGGCTAAAATATGTTCGAATTAAATATTTTTTGGCTTGAATACGGTTCGGCTAAAATACGGTTCGTACGAAATATGTGTCGGCTAAAATACAGTTCGACTAAAATACGGTTCGTACGAAATATGTGTCGGCTAAAATACAGTTCGACTAAAATACTTGTCGGATGAAATACTGTTCTGCTAATATACTTGTCTACGTTATTATTTTTCGGATGAATTAATTTTCGGCAGAAATACGGTTCGACTAAAATATTTTCGGATATTTTACGCGCTCCCATGTCGACCACATATTGGCTAATAGAATTAATAACATTTTTTTTTTCAAAAAATACGGCCAATGACTTCAATCACTACGCTTAGTAGAATGTTCTGATTTAAATTTAGAAAGCAGATTTGAATTCTCCACTAAATTTACTATGCTTTGACTGTCGTACATTTTTCATATTCAATATCAATGGATTTAAATTTGAATTATAAAAATGATCAATTTTTACTCTTTTTGTTAGTAAATTCCTAAGTAAAAAAAAATAAAAATCAGAAAAATAAAATTGTCAAAGCATAGATAATTTAGTGACGAATTCAAATCTGCTTTCAAAATTAAAATCAAAATATTATATTGGGCGTAGTGATTGAAGTCATGAGCTATGTTTTTGACCGAAAATGAATCACGCTCCAGCCCCCTTAACTATTATATTTGAGTATATTTGTGGTTCATTTATTTTTATTTCGACTGCCGGCATCCAGTGATTATTTTTATAAAAAATGCCTATACTTGGCCTGTTTGTTTTCCAATAAATTATAGCATTTGAAGTGTCATTATTTTCAGCTATTATAAATAAATTCATGCCAAAATGGTCGCAAACATACGAGTCGTCGTCTCTAAAATTGTAACCGGAGTTTATTTTATCAATAGTCAGCATGTTAATTATTTCTAAGGTAGTTTTTTTTATTCCATGTTGTAGTAAACAAATCCGTAGTGAATGTGCACCATCATCTCCATCGCCTGGTACTTCCTGTATTTTTATGAATGAGCCAGCCGTATGTTTAATTTTACTTTCAGTTTCGTCATCGCCTTCGTTTTTGTGGTGTTTTTCTGAAGTATTATATTTAATTGCTGAATTGTATTTTTCGATGTTGTTTATTATAACAGTTTTGTTATGATTTCTTAATAGGTCGATGTTCTGATAATTGTTGATTATGCATTTCTTCGTTTCTTGTGTGTTGTGCCAGTTTTTTACGTAGTGTGTATAATTATTTTTCTCTATACCTATTGTGTCATTAAAATTGTTACAGTTATATTCCTGAGTTAAACAATCCGATTTTTTTTTCAACTCGGTACCTACTAGTTTTTTGTATTTGTATCTCCCCTGTATCTTTCTGGTGTTTTCTCTCGACTATGTTCTCTGCTGTATTGATGCCTGTAGTCGTAATTGTAATTTACATTATTGTCTCGATCTCTTGAATGTGATCTGTTTCTATAGCCTCTACCGTTGACTGTATTTAAGTTAGCTTCTCTATTACGTGAGTTATCTCTATATTATCTCTAATTATTTGAATCATATCTATGGCTTGGATTTCTTTCGTAATCTTGATATGTATTAGTCTCGTTTTGTATTTTGTTGTAATATTGTCTCTCTCTGGACTGTGATCTGTCTCTACCATATTGTCTATTTCTGCTAGATTCTCTACTTCTGTCATTAAATCTTCCTGGGTACGGACTTTTATCTCTGTATTCACGTTGTCGTCCTCGGTAATTTGTTTCTCTATTATAACTTCTCGCTCCTATCTTCATTATAATTATAATTTTTATTATTATATCGATTATCTATTTCTTCATCATCGAAGTTTACCGATTTATTTCTTCTTCCTGTAATGTTGATTTGTTGAATATTTTCCCTTAACTGGTTCATCTCCTTTTTGTATTTTCTATCTCTCTTTATTAACTGTCTTTTTAGTTCATCGATTTCTCTTCCTTTTTCTTTTGTTTTTTGGTTTAGTTGAGATACATGTTCATTAAGCATTTCTGTATAATCACTTAATTCTGGCCCTCTGTTATTAATTCGAAATTGCATCAGTTCAAATTTTTTTAAATTTTTCTTTAGCTCTTTTAGGTTGCTATTGTCGTGTAATGAAATCGCATGTAAGACTGTCTCTTTTAATCCCTTTAAAATATAAGTGCAAATTTCTTCTTCCTTCATATTTTTATTTAATTGTCTACATATATTTTCTATTTCTGTTACAAAACTCATTATAGACTCTGTTTTTAAATCTAGTTTTTAAAATTGTATTGTAACCAATTGGTTGAAATTCGTCGAGAAACTCCTGTTTCAAATCATTCCATGTCCAATTATTATGTTTGTCATCCAAATTTTCCAAAAATATACTTGCTGTACCTTTTACGAATATCGATAAAAATCTTACTTTATCTTCGTCCTTCCAACCGTTTACATCTGCTGATTTTTCGTATTGCTTGAAATATTTTCTTACGTCCTCATTACCTGAGAACTGGTCTGGTCTAATCATTAGAATTTTTTCTGTCATTATCTGTGTTTGTTTATTTAACGGAGTAGAATGAATTTCAGAGTTTAGGTTATCTCCTTTTTGATTATTTATTTTTATTGCTGTGTTTTCGTTTTTGAATTTTGGTTTTTCACTTGTGTTATTAGAATCAATAGTGGTTGAATTATTAAGATTTATTAATTTATTTTCAATAATCTCACTATTTTCTGGTTGAGTATTTAATTTTAATTCCTCATAAATATTATTAGAAGTATCATTAATCTTAAGATTTTTTAATATATTTTCATAAGTATCAGAACTTTCCTTTTGACAATTTTGGTAAGTTATATCTGAATTTGCTAGAATATTTTCGGTGTTATTACTTATTCACAAATGAGCTTGTACTGGCATTAAGATTATCGTATAATTTTAAATTATCTTTTGATATTTCTGAAAAGCTGTCTGAAGTTAATTTATTAATTGTATTTGTGTCAGTGCTCGAATCGCTCGAATCGAATATTCCTGCTTCTTTTTCTAATTTATTAAAATCGATTTTATTAGTTTTTGCTTTGATTAAAATTAAATCGCATTCTTCTTTGCCTAATGTGTTATCTATGTCGTCTAATGTTATGGTGCCTTTTAAGTATCTACTAAGTCTAGCTCTTAATTCACTAGTTGTACCTGTTGATTTTAATTTTTTATTTTCGCAATATTTAATAAGAAATGGTTTTTTAAGAGTATAGATTTCTGTTGCAGTATTTATTGTTATAGAAAGATCCGATTTAGGGTCTTTAAGTTGATTCATTAATTTATAAAATTTGAAAAATTAATTTAAATAATCCTAAATCTATACTTGGATATTTTAACGGTTTTTAATTATGTTTAACTACAATTAACTAAAATTATATACCTACTTTATACTATTGTTAAAATCATTACAAATTTAAATTATTAAGAAGTTTTATTAAATTTATTGTAAGAATAATTTATTGGGAGTGTTTGATCAAAAAAAAAAAAAAAATAAAAAATATACTACTAGATTAATTATATTACTATGTAAAAAACCTAACTAAATAATTATTACTACTTCTTAAATTTAAATATAAATAAATGAACACTAATAATAAAAAAAAATCGGTTAAACAAAAAAAAATATTCGTAAAATATAGATCGCATACATACAAAAATACAAAATATAACCATACACCAATATTCACCTTGAGTGTGTAAAACACCAAAATGATGGACCCAATTGCTCGTAGTCTTCCCGCCGTAAATGTTCAATCTGATGGATAAATGTATAAAACGCGATATGTGTAAAACACAAAAAAAAAGTACTTGTAATTAAAGCAAATCTCAAATACAAAACTCAAATACACAAACAAACAAATACACAAATGTTAAAAATTCCGGGTCGTGGATTACGATTTTCGTTGGGCGCCACTGTCGTATACGCCGTTTGACAGACGTACACAAAAAAAAAGAACAATTATTATTAAGCACTTTTATTAAAACTCTTGCGTCCAGTGGCGATCGAAACACACGAGCACCGCTGACTGACCCCCTATCTGTCTTTCCATATAACTTATATATTAATATTACAATCGAAGCACTATTTGTAGTATCGATATTAAGTTTAACCTAGTTGCATTATACTTACTGACTATGCTTAAAATTATACTAATTGTTATTGTATTACATTGAATGTTTACTTAACCTAGTTAACAATATTTTTTTTTATATATTATGCATGACAATTGGTAAAACAAATATCATAACTTCAAATGTTTTCATGGTACCAGAACAATTATTGTCATCAATATGTATACTTATATACGGTTATTACTAATCATTAAAAAGTTAATCTCTAAATTTTCAATTTTTTCATTTATTGATTTTATTTCATAAAATGAGTTTAAGGTTGTACGATTAATTTTGTTTACTTGGTCTGGTAAAAAAATAGATTTTTTTACCCATGTTTTAATTATAGTTTCTACAGTTCTCTTATTCAGTTAATTTTGATGTATTTTCTCCTTTTTTTGCTCAATTACTAGCATCAAGATAAAAGATAGAACGCATTTCCATCTTGTTATGTTATAAATTATGACACTCCTTGTAAAAATATGTAATTGATTTTGAAAAATCTGTACATTGTGAGTAACTTCAATTTTAAGAAAATAACTTAGATGAGTCATAATTTTTTATGAAATGAAATAACTTAGTTACTAATTAAGTTTACGTAACACTGGCATTTGTTGTCTCCGTCTTACAAATGCGTAACATACCAAATTTATGCTCATTGAACACTTGTAGCTTTGTTAGTTTATAAATTAGAGTGGATTGGCCTATTATGCAACTTGATGGTAAGAATATTATCTGTGTTTGTATGTTGGTTTTGTACGATAGTTTAGTTTTTTAGCAAGTTATGCGTATTTAATATACTGTATATTAAAAATGATCATAACTCATATAAAAACTGAATTATCGTAAAAAAATCAACCTACAAACACAGATAATGTTCATACCATCAAGTTTCATAATAGGTCAATTCACTCTAATGTTTAAGCTAACAATGCTAACTACAACCTAGATAGCAAGATGATATTTTAATTATAATAAAAAAATATTATTTTTAAAATTATATGATTAAATTATTGTTTTTTCTCAGCATATAGTCATTAAAAAATATTTTATTAATGTTAGTATAATGTTGTTTGGCGCCGATAATAATATTATATTATAATTTTTTTTCATTTTGTTATATTATTATTAAAAATGTAACAAAATAAAACATTATTTTGAAAATAATAATCTCACAATTATCTTTGACATCATATTCATTAAAACCATAATGTTTTATAAATAACAAGGGCGTAACTAGTGTAGGGGGTTCATGAGTCAAGACCCCTCCACACCATCGACATTTTAAAACTGAAGAATATTTTTTGTATTTTGTACATACAAATGTAGTGTCCTGCATCCATGTTAAAAAAAACTATTTTCGTGGGAAATAATAAAAAAAAAACAACTCATTGAAAACTTTTTAAAATTTTACTTATATTTTTCTTTATTGCGAACATCAAATTAAATATCATTACAATATTATATATTATAATACAGATTGGGTTCCTTACAAAATTTATTTAAAAAAAATTATATTCAAACTTGAACTGCATAAAAAAATCGAATTAGTTCCTTTTTTTCTCTGAATTTAGCTCCAGCTAAGAATATTTTGATTGGGTCTTCAATTTCAATGGTGTCAAATTTTTGGAAACGTTTCATTCTTTTAATTGCATCTAAAACAAAAGAAACTTACTATAAAACTTAAGTATAGTATCTTCAAATGAAACAATTTGTTTGATTTCTAATTGATAAGTTATTATTACTAGAACTCATATTTAAAATCAATTTTTCACGTTTTTCATTTTTTTCAATCAAGGTTCTCATGTCATATTTCATATTCAAAACATTACGATTTAGTTTGTGAAGAATATCTAAACAGGAAAAAATAACTCATAAAAGTATATATATAAAAGATTGTAATCATTATTATTATCAAAAATAAATAAGTTTCCACTTTTTATAAACGATATATTTTTTTATAAATTAATTTAATTGAAAAAATACTTTAAATTTTAAATCAATAAAATTAATAAAGTTCATTTTTTAAGTATATACTTCTTCACTTATTATGAAATATAGTATTGATATTTTATAAATACAAAATTAATAATAGGTATTTTAAATTCCGTTTAAATTGTAAAGCATTAATAATAGCAATATGTTTACCATTTTTATGAGACGAACTTAATACAGATGTAATGGAAAACATTTGATTGCGATTCAGGAATTCCTTCACTTTCAACAATATTGATGATATTTTAAAGGCGATAAAAGTGTTAAAATAATATCTGATTTCTTATTCTTCACTTCTAATATTTGATACTGCAGATGACGATGGTTTTAAAAGGATTTCTTTTGGTTCAGTTCTTAAAATAAATACAGAATTATTAAAATTATTTATTTTCCAATACCTATTACAAATTAATAACTATACAGTATACATATAATAGTTTTGGAAAGTAAAAATTCATAGAATGTATTTAGTAAATATTGTATTGTTAAAAAAAAAAAATCAAAATCTTGTAGGTGAACTTTTGTTCATATAATAAGAGCTAGTATTCACTTTACAGCTCTGTAACAGAAAAACTGACTAAGAAATAATAGTTTTTGTTCTAATCAATATTTAAAATTTTTTTTTTATATATAAAATAGCAACTTGCACAGTTAAGCTACACATTTTTTAATATTAACATTTTTATTTTTAATTCAATGGTAACTCGGAAAATTGGATCGTGAAAACATTTATCTAAGTCAAGAGTGTTTTATTTTAAACCAATTTGTTAAAATACCAATATAATTGTGGAATAAGTCACTTTTTTATTTGAAAAGTACATAATATAATGAATTTTTCCAAAAACATTTTTATCATTAAAAATGAAAATAAAAATTCTGAACTATAAATGTAACACAAGTGTTTATCAATTTAATTAGAACAAAAAAAAAATATTTCATTTGTCAGTTCTTTCTGTTGCACCTAATAAATTTTAATAATACCTACTTATAACTGCGTTGATAGCTTAGTATAGTTGCTCAATGAAGTATGAGTGTAATAATTATTTGTATCAAATATGAGATGTTTCTTACTTTAGAACTGTGTTGATATTTATTTGATGATCTTATCAATAAAGGATCAGATGATACTACCTCATCTAAAGAACACTGTGTCTCTATAATAAATAATATCAAGAAACAAAATTATTAATATTTAATTAAAATATCTAAAGAATTATACCAACAAATAAAATCATAATCATAATATACAGGGTGATATTTTTAACATTGAACACTCATTATTTCAAAAAGTATTAATGTTTAAGAAAATATTTTTTTACATAGTTCCAAGTTGTTAAAAAACAATATTTTTATTAAAAAATTATATTTTTAAATATTTTTTATCCTTTTAATTTTTTAAGTTTTTTACTTTTTTGAATGACAACATGTAATTTTAATTTGATATTCAAAAACAGAATATTTTTCTGAGTATTTCGCTACATAAAAATTGAATTTAGGGCAATTAGTTTATGAGTTATAAGTATTTAAAGTTTAGATGAGCGGAGTAGTGGACAAACATTTCACGGGGTAACCCCGTACCACTCTACTCAGCTCATCTAAACTTTAAATACTTATAACTCATAAACTAATTGCCCTAAATTCAATTTTTATGTATCGAAATACTCAGAAAAATATTCTGTTTTTGAATATCAAATTAAAATTACATGTTGTCATTCAAAAAAGTAAAAAACTTAAAAAATTAAAAGGATAAAAAATATTTAAAAATATATTTTTTTAATAAAAATATTGTTTTTTAACAACTTGAAACTATGCAAAAAAAAATATTTTCTTAAACATTAATACTTTTTGAAATAATGAGTGTTCAATGATAAAAGAATCACCCTGTATATTACTAGAGGGTCTTTGCTCTTCACGTGGATGATAATTCGAATCTGTATCGCTATCATCTCCATAAACTTCAAACATATATTAAACATTTTTACTAAGTAATTGGTCTTAAATATATAGCTGTTGAAAATATTTTTTGAATTAAAATGAATACCATTTATATTATTATAAAATAACTTACAATGAAGTTTGCTACATGGACTACTCCATATTATAGTGTCTTGTTTTTATTGCCATAATTAATTTTGCTTTTTTTAAATTGTTTTATGGAAGAATTAGAAT